GACATGTCATGAAATGCAAAGTTGTTATTGGAGAACCTTAGCTTGAAAAGAGGTTTATAAGATAATAAATATGATAATATGATCTAAGGATCTGGGAAGTCTAGTTTGGTGGTCCTGTTTTGAACAGAACACTGATTTATTGACTGTCAGAGCCTGTATTCACTTCTATGTTAAAAAGTGTGTACTGCAGCCATGCAAAAGGTACTGCTTCAGGCATGGTGACAGGTGATCTAATGTTGCCCTTTGTGTTTGAAATTTCTTATCATCTGATCAGTACTTTAATAAATATCAGACATTTATAGTCTCTAGTGCATATTAGTTTATTAAACTTCTGCAGTTAAATAGGTATATGCAAATTTCTTGAAACAATGCAAATTCTTATGTAAATCCTTGAGCATCGTGATCAGGGATTTGTGGATTTACTTTTTTTAACTGTAGCATTTTTAAAACTCCTTATTTACAGGTCTGTTGGATAAGTTTTCTTGCTAAACACTAGTCAAAAGTAGTAACTCAGGCAGCCATCAGCTGAAGTTTGAAGATCTTAACTTCAAACATTGTGACAAGCAGTCACCAACTTCTTGAAATACAGTTTTAAGAGCCATAGTGTCTCATCAACCAACAGTTTTTAAATTGCAGCCTCTTAATAAATGGTGAGACAAATACATGGACAGTAGTGAACCTCACAGATTGTTAATATCAGACTTGCAAATTCTGATAATTATAGTAATGATGCATACTGGGTGAGTATGGGGTGGAATGGTGGAAGGTAGCCAAGCTCATCTGTCTCGCACAGCATCACTTCATGTTGCCATGATCAGGGTTGGAATACTGGCCTGAACCTGAACTGCTCTGAATGCACTGAGATTCGTTACATAAATAGCTATCCTGTTCAGGCTTCCTGGGCATGTGAAAACATAATCTTATTTCCCTTGAAAGATGAGGTATAATCGCTGCTTCAGAAAGCAGGAAGTACTGTATAAATCAAGTAATAACAGTGCTGTTGCCTAGTTATTAGTAACTTGATCTCTGATGAGATTTCCTTTTCAGCGATAAATCAATGTCTACACTTATTTGCAGTCAAATTCTTTCATTCTCTCCAGTATAACAATATTAGGTCTTTGGGTTATATCAGTTCACTTGCTACATTCTCTGAGCAGGAGAGTGAGTTCAAGTGGAAATGTGTGGCTTCTAGATCTTGTCTGTCAATATAAAAGCCTTGTGACAGCTTGTTGGGTAGCTCCTCATGGAGAATTACATTCTAAGACAAGCAGTTATATATGTTAACAATCCTGCAAATACACACAAGTTCAGTGTAGGCTGACTACTCTCAAACATTGTCTTCACATTTTCAAGCTCTGTTAATTTTATATGAACTTGAATGAATGATACTGCTCTGTCTTCCAAAGACTTCTTAATTTAAGCACTTAAGAAACTTAATTGCCTTTGGTGGTTTGTCCATAAACTCCATTTAATAACCTTTCAGGAAGTGAATTTCAATTCGCTTGAAAATTATTTAGGAAAGAATTGATTACTCCTGTCCCTGTAGTCAACACCACAGACAAAGAGTTACTTGTTTGTGACTATTGATATTTTTGCTTAATTGTGTGAACAGCCACTGTTCTGGATTTTGCTGTGCAATCGTCTCTTGTGGCTGCAGAGCACCATAAGGCAGCACTGAGAAAGGCATAACAAAGGGATGGTGTCTGTTTAACTTGTATTTGCTGCCTCTTGGTGATGCCACATTATTATGAGCTCAGGGCAGAAAAATCTTTTTGTGTTTGCAGGAGAATAAAAGATCTATTGGGAAATTACAGAGGCTGTTATGGCACAGTGTAACTGCAGGTGTGGTTAGTACTAGCCTATTATATTGAAAATGAGGGAACTATAGTGGTTAGAACTAAAACACTGGAAAGAAACACTCTTTTTGAGCTGCTTGCCTTTATTTTGTATACAGGCATGAGAATGAATTATGGCTAGAAAAACTATTTCTTCCCCGGGTTCTTGCATAACTATGTAAACAATAACTTTGGAGAAGATTATTCTTTCTTATCATCTTGTGGGTGAGAGATATGTAAAGGGGGAGGCATGACTGTGCCCTAAAGAAAAAGAAGAAAAATGATGGGAAACTAGCCCTTGAGTGAAGTTACTTAACCTTATGTCAGAATATGCAAGTAGCAGCCTTCAGAGCAGTTGATCATCATAAGCATTTGAGTCCATACATTGACTTCTAGGACTGAAGTGACAAAATGTTTGCTGGATTTATTTTCGAACTACCCAACCCTTTCTTTTTTTTTTTAAGCTGTGGTAAATGTGGAGGGCTCTGATGCTAACTTTCTATTCTGGCAAGTTTGGGTGTTGTTTCTCTCCTCTGAATGCAAGGTGGCTGATGTGACTCTTCAAACCCTTCCAGACTCTAAAAACTATCTGGGTTGTTGTGTGGAAGTTAATTAGTTATGTTTAGATATGTTCATTGCAACAGTGTCTGCAGTAATAAAGCTTTATCCTTAGTTCAGAAGCAAGCAACAAGGAATATGGATTACTGCTAACTAGGATAGTTGTAAATATGCAATGCTAATTTAAGTATCTTCAAGATGCAATACTGTGATAGAATTGGATGGACTCTGAAGCCATGAGGGATCTCATTTTTCATGGGGGTGGAAAACATCATGATGGCAGTACCAGTATTTAGGCTTTAACTATGGGAAGTCAGTCATGAAATCACATGTTTTTGTGAGCAAAATACACAACTAGCATTGATACATGAAGACTGGCAAACAGATAGTTTTTCTAGACTGAGACTGGAGAGCTGAAATGAAAGAATGTTTGAGTGTTGATCGTGTTCCAGTTAGCATACTTGTATTGGCATATGAGAGCATACTGGTTCAGTTCCATTTCCTCTTCTGCTTGCGCTATGCTCAGTCAGCATGCTGACTCTGCACCTTAATCACAAGTTCTAGGGAGCTTAAAGCAGATGGGAAGTTTGTTCTAATAGTTTTAATGGTTCTGACCTGGGTGCCCTCTGGAAACACTTAGCTCAGTGCCAGTTAGTGGCTGTTTCAATGCAGAAGTAAAATGGCCCTAGGACAAACACATCTGTTTCTCCTCAGCTGCAGCCCTCAGCAATGATGTTGTTCATTTTACCTCAGCAGACTTCCAGCCTCAAAGTGAAGACTGTAATGAGTGAGTTTTTTTGGTGAGACAAGAAAACTTAATTGTATTATCACAATTCTTAGAAGCATCTTCAAGACTCTTGCCTCGGTGGTGGCTTGGTGCAGCCAATGAGCCTTTCTCATGAAACAACTGCCTTCCTTCTGGGTATGAGAATTACATATATTTAAAGGCTCTTGGGTTTTGTAGCAATAAACATGTGTCTCCAGTTTGATTGTCTGAATAGGTGAATTGCTGTTTGTTCTTCCAAGGTAGGCAGAGTGGGCAGCTGGCTTATCCAAGCTATTAATGTCAACACGAATTGCAGACCCTGGCTTAGCTTTAATTCCAGCCTCATCAGACGAGGTGAGCAGCAGCAGCACGAGTCTGTAGTGCAGATGGGCATGAGCTGAGGGACAGAAGTGCAAATACGTTTTCTTCTGGGCTTTAGTCTTGATAAAGGCTTCTGTACCTTGCAGAGGAGTACCAATCCGACAAAGTAGTGACCATCTTTCAGATTTAGGAGTTTAGCAGTAAAATACTAGGTCTGGTAAGTGAAAAGATAACTTGTTAACTTGAGTCTTTCACTGTTGAAGTTAGTAACTATATTTTGGAAACTAGTATCTTCCAGCCAAAGTGCTATGTTTGAACTGACAAATTACAGTGCTCTACCCAGTACAGGTAATGATTGCTATACAGGGCTCAGGGATAAAGACTTAAAATACTCAACTAATTCCCTGGTGAAAGAGTATGAAGAGCTTCCTGTGTGCCATTAACACTACTAGTATGAAACTGGGCATACAAAGAAATAGAGGATACAGCAGCATAATGCTTTAGTTCTGGTTGAATCAGCTATCTTGTTTTTTAAGAAGGTGGTGCAAAATAACTGGATTTTCTGCTTGCTACAGGATGAGTTTAGTACAGTCACTTCTTTCAGTGAAGAGTACGTTAACATGATGGAAACACTGCAGTGTGTTACTTGGTAGCATTATGGGTAGCAGTGTGGGTGAGACAGAAGTAGTAACATGGCTACTTGGTATGTCATGCATGCAGGTGTTACGTAGTGCTGCTCCAGAGAGGACCTCTGCTGAGATTTAGTGGTTCTTGAAAATCTTAGGTATTTTGTGTAGTATAGAGATTTAAATAGTTTCACAAATGTAAAAGTCTGTCTCACACCTGATGTGTTCCCTATGGCTGTGTTTTAATAAGGTGAAATTTTAGGGTTCTGTGGCAAAGACTCCTAGCTGATTCTGTTCCTGAGGCTGTACTGCCAATATCACTTCAGAGAGAATAATGCTGCAGCTGAAGTAGGAAGCTATCAAGCATGTCATCACAGATGGTAGCAGAAAGGTGACTTTGCTAGGAATGTTAGCTATATCTTTTGAGCTGATTAGGAGGTAACCAAACTAGGGTAAGAATTACCAAGTGTTGGCTGCAGGATTGTTAATCTTCCAGGTAGACACTAAACCACAGTGAGATTCATCCTTCTGAACAGTTATTTAGCAGTCAGCTTCTAAGACAAGGAGGAGAAGGCGGGAGCAACTTTATAACACTGTCTGTAGCAGCTTCTTAGCAGTATCAGCTCTGCTGTTTATGTAGTTTGAAGCACAATCTTATGATGAAAAAATGACCTTGTATTACTGATTCTTCAGAATGATGGCTCACTTTGTTTTTGATGCCTGTCCAGAAAAGTGCAGGGAGAAGGAAGTGTCCCTGCAGAGTATCAAGTCACGCTCATTTTCACAACTCTGACATTAGATACTTTAGTAATTTTTTTCACGCAAGTTACTGTAAGCAGTAAATCTGGCTGTTCTGTCTGTTCTCAAATGACTAAACACTTCACTTCTTTACAGGTGCTGGTGGAGTGGTTAATGGAGAGGAGTATGAGGTAAGATAGAATTAATCTGTACTTAGAATGTGCTGTTCTACTCTGTGACTTTTACCTTAATCTAGACTAATACTTCCTATTTCTTGTTTCTAATGTACTTTTGTCTCATCTCTGAAAAGGAACTTCTGTTCTGATAGCTCATCTCATAAAGTTGTCAGTGCTCTTAATATGTCCCTCCTCTGAATTTAGAGGCAACTTAAAGCAGCAGTCCATTTTGGATTGTGGGTTAATACTACATAAGCAATTTAAACCACACTGGCAGGCTCTGTGATATGACTTAACATTGACTTGCCACTGGCTGATGAGCTGAAAGCATGCTCTGATTACCCAGTTTAAAGCAGGGTTTTCAGATTTGCATGTTTAAAGATAATTTGTGCATCCTGACTGTTTTATCAAGACTGGTCTTACCGGGAGCTGACTGAAAACGTTATACACTTCCTAGTGACATAGAGGTGCATGAAATTAAGGTAAACAGCTCAGTCAGAATATGAAAGCATGTTAGACAGCAGTGGTGATGACAAAAGGAGGACATACATGCTTTATTAGCATCAGGGAGGAATGAAGCACGCTAAGGCAGTCACTGCTTTGTAACTGAATTTCATACCAGTTTGTCCAGAGCGTTGTCGTTGCCTGGTATGAGAGTTGACTGGTTAGCCCTGATTAAATTAATTGCCAGGGAAGGATGCAGCATAGGAGCTACTTACTTCTCCTTAGAGTTCTAAGTCAATGCTGAGCTTTGTGGAGACATAAACAGCTTACACTGCTGCAAATATTTTTATGTCCTCAGCATTGCTGTGAGATTGATGGGACAGCTGTACCTTACTGGCCCTTTGTGCTTCCTTATACACCAGAAGGTAGATGGAATACCTTTACTTTGTGTGTGTAATTCTAACAGACCAGTTGCTTTGGTTGACAGAGCTTCCTCTTAATAAGGAAGAACAGACTGAATGGGCTATCCATAACTTTTGTTTTAGCTACCTGTAACTAGTTGGCCCTGCAGCTGGCTGATTTAATTTGCTTTGGATGGAATGTGAAGCCTCATGGTATTACACCAGCCTATCTCCTTCTCTTTGCCTTATTCCTTCACTGAGGGCTACAGGAGGTCCAAAGAGGGGCAAGACACAACCAAATCTGTCGTTAGCTGCAATCAATCTAGTACTCAGGAGTCATATTTCTTAGCTCTGTTAAGAGTAGGCTGAAGCAGTAAAAGTTGTTAAACTTGGAGTATCATTTGTAGCAAATAGCACAGTATTCATTAGCTTTGTGAATCTGGTGTGTTGATAGCCCTATTCACTGCAAGTCTTTGAGCTGTTATATAGTAAAAGGTATTGCAGTACTTACACTGTTTTGATGCTTACATATTGAAATGCCAGATTTTGTAATATAATATCTGCTACTCATGTCTCTGAAATAGATAAGTTACAGAGAATGTTTTAAACTCTTATGCACAAACCCATAAAAATTTACTTTCACAGCAAATACTTAATGTGACATGAACTCAAAGAATAGCTAGGCCTACAACTGCACAGTGTGGTGCTAGGCATTCTGTGTTCTTCAGGCTTAGCCCACTGGCACTAGGCACTTGTGGCACTTGGCTTTCCAGTTACCTGTTGTGGGTTTTTTTTGTTTTGTTTGATCACTGATTTCAAGACGCAATGCTGTATTAATTTGCTGCCCTGGTATAATTTGTGGCAAGATGCTTTTCCTGTTAATGGTGGAAATGTGTCATAAGAGTAGATGAATGTGTTACGTGTTGAGCTCGAATAGAGTCTAATTTTATTTATGTAGCTTGCAGGCAGTTACCTGAATATTCAGTTATCTTATATAAATGACTTTACTGTTCCTTTCATTTACGCAGACTAATGGTTCAACAAACTGCTATGCTGCCATATCGCAAGTTGATCAACTGCAGTCAGAACCAGAGAGTATTCGTAAGTGGAGAGAGGAGCAAAAGGAGCGCCTGGAGCAGCTTGGTAAGGAAGGTTTTTGTTGAGTAACTTAGTGTTCAGCCTGGAGAAGAGAATGCTCTGCGGAGTCCTTAGATCAACCTCCTAGTACCTAAAGGGAGCCTACAGGAGAGCTGGAGAGGGACTTTTTACAAGGGTGTGTAGTTAACAAGAGGTAACAGCTAAAACCTGAAATAGGGTAGGTTTAGATTAGCTATTGGAAATAAATTCTTTACTGTGAGGGTGGTGCTGGCACAGGTTGTCCAGAGAAGTTGCAGATGCCAGGCTGAATGGGACTTTGAGCAGTCTATTTGAGTGGAAGGTATCCCTGCCCATGGGTGGAGGGCTGAAGTAGATGATCTTTAAGGCCTCTTCCAACCCAAAATATTGGTGGTTTGCAAACCAACAGACTTAGTGAATCTGAACTTATCTGTAAATGCCTGTCCTAAAGTGGACTGTCCCAGCTATGCATCACAGGAATTCTGTTTAGCTAATCCTTTGACTGATCATGGTATTTATAGCTCTCATGGACTAAATCAGGAAATCTCCTAACCCTTTCCCAAGTGCATGGAGAGCTATCTGTGCTAGAGTGCACCCTGAACCAGTGGACATATTAGCAGCATACAACTGGAACAAACATGACTGACAAATGAATTCTTAAATCTTCAGATGCAAACTCACGAAAGCAGGAAGCAGAATGGAAAGAGAAGGCAATAAAGGAGCTGGAAGAGTGGTATGCCAGGCAAGATGAAAAGCTTGAGAAAACAAAAGCCAGTAACAGGTAAAGTTTCTCCAGAAAACTGAAGAGTTGTGGTTATGAAAATAATTGGTGAGGAGGTTAGAATACTTCTTGTATGTCCTAAGGCATAGTCCTTCAGATCATTAAAGTAAGGGCTCCTACTAACTATCTTTTTTAGTTCTTGTGAAGAATTTACATTAAATGTCCAAGAATAACAAGAGGAAACATTAATATAATGAACCAGAATTACCCTGACACCAGCATTCTTACTTGCTATCTTTAGAACACATGGAAGTGGCACACTACTTTGTAGTCTTTGCTACAAGTTATTTAATTAGGTATCTTAAAACCTTTTGCTGCTCATTTTGGAAGTGTTTCAGAAATAACATGACTCAGTTCTACTAGTGAAAAACTAAATGCTGACTGTGTCTGTGGTGGTTTGAATTGTGTAATTATGGGCCCTGTGGCAGAAACTAATGACTTTGCTTCTAGTCTAGTAAGTTCTTACACTTCCTAGAGGTTCCCTGATGGAATTTTAACTTCAAGCTATGTGAAGGTAAATGTGATAGTACTGACTTAATACCTCTTGGATCTCTAAGTCATTCTGTTCAGGTAGTCACCAGGGCTGCATTATACTTTGGTAACTCACAGACTTCAAGAGGAACTGCTGTTTTATTTGTTTTGTTTTTAAAATACCATTTTTCTTACCAAAATAGCCATCAGGTTTGTCTTTAGTAAGTAGAGTCCTAGGTAGATCACTCTTCTTACTAAAGGAAGAGGCCTACACTGCCTACAGAATTATGGTTTTGCCACTTCCATTCACTGAGGAATTCAGTATCTTTTGGTCGGGCCAAGAAAGAGAAACAGGATTGATCCTCCTCTAGTTGGTGGCCAGAGTTCATGATACCCCCCCTAGATTTATTATGGCCAGTGTTTGAGTGCAGGATATGGATTCTGGAGGAAGACCCATTAAACAAGTGCTGCGGAGAAGGAGTGTTTGGCATTCTCATCAGCCTGGTGAGATCTTTGCTTGATGGTAGTTTCTGTCCACTGGAAGGAGTTTAATGCTAACATTGAGGCTTTAGTTCTCAACTAGCTCCAGACTTTTAGGATGTAGCAGAAGTTTTGTGTTGCCCCACAGATCAATGGCATAATTGATACATTCCATGTGGTAACTGCTTTCCTGTTACAGTAAGTCCAGGTGATGCAAGGCTAATGTGCTTGTTAAAACTGCCTTCAGCTGTGTTCCGTACTTCTCATCCTTATCTCTTCTCTCCTGCCTGCTTGCCTGCCTGTTGGACTACTTGCTACCTAGGGTAGCAGATGAAGCTTTCTACAAACAACCCTTCGCTGACGTGATTGGTTATGTGTATGTTGCTTAACTACTAATTCTGTGTGCTAGTCAGTGAGATATGAGGAGGTTCAGAAATAGTGCTGAATTCTGAAGGTGACTTCTGAATGTTTCAGGGCAGTATAAGCTAATATAGCCTGTACTTTCTCTGAGCTGCAATATTAAGTGCAGTTTTCTTGTATACACTGCACAAACTCCAGCACATTCAGATTTAGTCATGTAGTATAAATACTGTTGGAATTTTGGAAGTTACTTCAGTAGTCTTTAGACATAGGGGTTTATAGTTGTTTCCAGGCCAGTGAACACTGCTTAGCAAGATGCTTTGCTGGGTATGTGGGTTAATGCCTGCAGTTTCACATGGGTGCTGTACTTAGTCCTTCCACATAAAAGTACAGTGTTTAACTCTGTAATAGGCAATGAACACCTGATCTGTGCTTATTTGCCTACATAATCAGAAAAATATTCAAGCAATGCCTGCACACAAAGCTCCTCAAACCAAGGAAGGTAGAAAGGAATCACTTGACATAAATCAAGGTAGAAGAGGCATGTGCAGATAGAAATAGGCTGTCAAAGATCAGATGAAAAGTACAAAAAGGTGGTATTGGAAAATCAGCATAAGCTGCTGGGAGAACGTTTAGGAGCAGCTCTGTGTAGATGTTTTGCCAGCCTAGCGGGTTAGTGAAAACACAGCCATGACTTTCAAGCCTCAGTGAGTATGGTAGATTCTAAGGACTAGGAGGATTGTTCATTGGCTTGTTCATGTATTTTAATTTCTTCCCTTAATTTGTAGACTTGAATTGAAAGAAGGACATGTCACAGATTCTAAGGTGACACCTTTAGAAGGTGTACTGGTGAGCCGTGTTGTGGCTTTGAGTGCATTAATATTGAAGGTTTGGTGTGGAATTCATTAGCTAACTCTAGCTGGATGTAAACCAAGACTTGTGAAATGATGGATTTACAGGTGGTGTTTAACTTTTCTGAAATCTCCTGGAGTTGATTTTGTTAGATTTTTTCAATAAAAGCCTTATTTTCATATGGCCAATGCAAATGTGCAGTGTAAGTGCTGCATAATAAAACTGGCTGCCTGTTTCCTGAATGTAGGCTATGCTACTAGTGCATGTTCAACCTAATCATCTGCATTAAACTCATTCTCATTTTCTATATCTGACTTAAACTTTCTCTCCTTGTTTCTTTTCTTCTCTTCACCTTTAAGCACAAACATAAATCATCCTTGCTACAGCCTAGAACAGTTAAGTAAAAAAATCTTCACTGCCCCTTAAAAGTGTCATGTCACATAAAGTAGCAGTGTTGTAGTGACCCTTGTCTTCAGTGGTGTCTGTAACCTTATCATCCCTGTGAATAGTGCTGAACCCTCATGGGAGAGTCATTTTCACTGCTTTCTCTGTACTGCTTGTTGGAGTAGATGGATTTGGTTTGATCTCTTGATGCTTACTGCTATTGCACTCAGGCAGCTACCAGAGCCCCACAGTTCATGGAAACTAGATGCTGGAGTGTTATCCCTGCATTGAAGCAATGCTATTGGAAGCATAGAAATGCCAAAATACACAGCTGAAAAGCCACTAGTACTAACCTGTACATAATGTACAAAGCTTCCTTAGAGTCTCCTTAGGGTGAGAGCAGCGGAAATATGTTTATTTTGTGAGCTGACCTCAAATGAGTCTTTTCCTCTGCCAAGATATGCTTCAGTCTATAGCACTCACAAGCATGGGATTCGTGACTTAAATTCCGTATGATTCATGCTGCTTCACTACAGCATTGGGAATCATCAGCAGATAGTTTTATGATGGCCTGTAGGCCTTGGGGCTGATTTAAATCCTCAAATGGAATCTGTTTTAAGACATGCTTGCAGGCAGCTGTAAATTTCCAGTTGGCAAGTGTCCAATATAAGCCATCAAGTGGCAGAGGCTTAACTAGTTAAGACCTGGGCATTTCTCCATAAATAAAATGCCTACCTTATTTCCTGGCAGTTCGTGTGGTGACTTCTTCAGCAAAGACTCAATAATGATTCTTAAAACCAAACACCTGTATTCCAACATTTTACACAGCAATCCTCTGCACTGCTTGTGCATAGCATACTACTGCAATCTACTTTCATCTTCAGGATTGGGGCAGTGGGAGCTTAAGTGACCATAATGTCCACAAGCAGCTGTCAGGTCACATTTCTTACAAAACATGCTGAAAGAAACTGCATCCTGTGGAGGGAAGGAGTGCCTTATATGCTGGGCATTAACACAAGGTGTGTTGCATTGCTTTTAGGGCTGCTGAAGAAGCCTTTGTGAATGATGCAGAAGACATTTTTCCGGGCACTGAGTGGGAACGTGTGGCTCAGCTCTGTGACTTTAATCCCAAGTCTAGTAAGCAGGCAAAAGATGTGTCCCGCATGCGCTCAGTCCTCATCTCACTCAAGCAGGCTCCGCTGGTTCGCTGAAGTAAAGCTCAGTGGAAACACTACAAATGCAATGTCTTAACCTTACTCAAAGAAGCTATGTTTGCAGTAATTTGATTAATTGTTTCAGTGTGTTTTTTAGACCACATAATAATAGATCATTGTTTGATTGCATGTTCTTCCTGATGTCTCCTTTGTGTCTGAAATGGGAGAACCTCCAAAACTGTAGTCTCTGTGCTGTTGTGCACTGAGATGTCACTTCCCACATTACTGATATTAAAGATACCTTAAACAGCAAAGCGTGTTGACTTTGGATGAATTAAGGTGGTTTCCTGTTGTCTTTTGACAGAGGGTGTTGGAGTTGAGTGTGAGCAAACATTTCTCTTAGTTGCTCATGATTTCACCTTGCTGGTGACTGTCCAGCCAGCAGTGCTCCTGGTCTCTGCAGGGCTGTCCTGCTTGTTTCTATAAGCATTCTTAAAGCTCTTGAGAGCTTTAGTTTAAAAACTGCTCCCCTATCCAATTTATCACATTAGACAGAAGCTCTAGGAACTGAAAAGCAGACTTGTTAAGGAGCTTATCTTGCTTACAGTGGAACTGACAACACTGCCTTCTGCAGGTAAGCAGGTCTGTGCAGTTTTGTGCTGTCACAGGGCACTGAGTAGTTAAAGCATTTGATATTCTGCTGCATATTCTGTTCTGGTAGGTATTCAATGCTGGCTGCATATGCAAAGACCTCTTGTACAGAGGCTGTTTGGATCTTTTTGAACTGTGTCCTCATCTTTGGTGACTATTGCAGACACTCTTCGTCATGATGTTGAGCTGGAGAGCAAGAGGAGGGAAGACTTGCTCTTACCACTGCTTATCTGCAGGTTGGAGATCTGTTTGCCAAGGTGCTTGAATCTGAAACAAACTGATCCAGAAAAAAATCTCTGTTCTGCTGCTTCCTTGTCTCACCTAGCATTCACGGGGGCTGTATTCTAGTATTGCTCTGTTAAAGCTTACCTTAGCTGTCAGTCTTGTAAGAATAATCTGTTCAGTCTCATACATTATTTCACCATTTTCATCAAAGACAATATCTTAACTAGTTTGCAGCATAATTGCTTGAATATCTTTTACATACAAACTGGAAAGTTAGTCCAGGCAGTTCAAAAAGGGCTGCAAGTGCAGACTAAAACACACTAAGGATCAGGATGTTGCTGCACAGCTGCTGTCTTGCCAGCAGCTGTGTCCCTTTGGTGGGTAAGATAGTCAATAAATGGTTTCCAGTTGGGCTTCAGAAGTTAAGCTCTACCTTTACTGTTGTCTGTTGTGACTGGAGCTGCTCATGTTTGCAAGTGTATTCACAAGCTACTGATGAGTGGTGATGAGAAATGTAGTAGATTACAGGTCTGGAAGCTTGATTCCATGGAAGATTAAAGCAGGAAGACATTTTCTGAGCTGCACAGGGATATTGCAGGTGACTCTCATAGAACTGAAGCACAGACCAAGTCCATAGAATACTGATACTCACTGCTAGCTGTGACTAATTATGCATTCATCTTGACTGAAAACTTCCTTTTTTTCTGCTCACTCCAAAGCTCTAGAAGGCTTTCAAAATGGTTGATATTTTAATAAAGAAAACTCCACTATATGAAATATAAAATCTTTAGAATGTTAATATGAATTTAGTAGAATTTCAAAGATAACAGGGGGGGTCCCTGTACACTGAGTTATGGCATTTATTGATCACCACGTTGTCCTATCTTACAGGACATTTTATCTGGCTGTGGGCATGGTTTTGAGCTTCAGTCCAGGAAGATGGGCAAAGACTCAAATTCAAGGCCAAAGCAATGTTAGAGAAGTTAAAGCAGTATTTTATAAGCTGGTTTTGCAGAGGCTTACAATGTGTTTTTCTGTTTTTTTATGTATATCATCTAGCTAAAACACTTAAAATGCAGCTGTGTTTTGATTACCTCTTCTAGCTCATGTGCTGAGATTTTGTAATTACCTCTTCTGCCTTAATTTTATACTCAAGTATGTTGGCTCACTGTCTCCTGTACAAGCACTGTCACAGAATCACAAACTGTCCATGGTTGGAAGGGAGCTCTTGAGGTCATCTGGTTCAACCTCCTTGATCAAGCAGAACCACCTAGAGCCTTTTTCCCAGGACCATGTTCAGATGGCTTCTGAAGATCTCCAAGAAGCAAAACTCACACCACCTATCTGGGCAACCTGTGACAGTGCTTGGTTACCCTCAGAGTAAAAAAGTGTTTCCTGATATTCAGAAAGAGCCTCCTGTGTTTCAGTTTGTGCTCACTGCCACTGGTCCTGTCACAGCACCACTGAAAAGAGCCTGGCTCTATCTGCTTTGCACCTTCTCTTCAGATATTTATGTACATTGGTAAGATCCCCTTGAGCCTTCTCCAGGCTGAACAGTCCCACTTGTCTCAGCCTTTCCTCACAGGAGAAATGCTTCAGTTGCTTTATTGTCTTTGTTGCCCTTTGTAGGACTTCCTCCAAGTGTGTCTACATCTCTCTTGCACTAGGTTGCTCAGAACTGGACCCACTATTCCTGATGTGACCTCACCAGTGCTCTACTCAGATTTTCTGCATTTGAGAATTATTCTAGATCCTTAGACTTTGTGACACTGTGTTTTATGAGTTCATCTGACAATTCTGTGCTACCTCTGGCCTAGCTGAGCATGCTCATTCCTCTGTTTACTGGCTTTAACTGGCTTCTGTTGCTGCTTATCTCCGTAGCATGCAGCTGATGCAGAAAACTGAGTCACTTTTCTGACTCAACTGAGTCAGATTCCAGCAGTCTCGAAAAACCCACTTCCTATCCTTCAAGCATAATCTGAGGTGCATGCGAGCAAAGATCTAAGGCAGTATTGAGAGAGAAGCTGCAGATTCATGCTGAATACATTCTAGTACAGAACTTGCTTTGTTTAGCTTGTGATCAGGTGTCAGCTAGCACCTAGGCAGTCTGAAATTACAACGAGCATTCGCAAAGGAGGAGGAGGGTGGAGGGGCCATGGGTTCATTAGAAAGCAGGGACCACCTAACAGGTGCATACACCCTCTGAGCCTGGGGAACATGGGTAAGTTTTAAGCAGCTGTGAAAGAACATGCTATGGCATATCTGTTTCTTGATTTTTTTGAGCCACTGGTAAAGAGGGAAATGCACAAATTACTGGCATGTATTTCAGAAGGAACGAGACGTGTATCTGTAGTCTTTGCCAAAGGAGGATTCCTACAGTAATACCTGTTGTGTAGGCAAGTGTATTCCTCTGCAGAACATTTGTGCTATGACACTAGTTGTGATGTGCCTTTGATAAACCATTTTCCAAACACAATTATCTGGAATGCTCCAAGGGGTGCGCAGTCCAGACACTTAGTAATGCCTGTGAACTCTCCATGGCATTTGAAAGGGACACAATAATCAGATTTCATAGAATCATAGAATTTTAGGGGTTGGAATGGCCCTTAAAGCCCATTTAGTCATAACCCCCCCCTGCCAGGGGCAGGGGCACCTCCCCACTAGACCAGGTTGCTCAAGGCCTCATCTAGCCTGGTCTTGAACACCACTAGGGTCGGGGCAGCTACCATGTTCCTGGACAACCCGTTCCAGTGTCTCATCACCCTCACAGGAAAACTAATTTTTGTAATATCTAACCTAAACTTTCCCTCCTTGAGTTTGAACCCATTACCCCATGTGCTATCATTGCAGTTCCTAACAAAGAGTCCCTCTCCAGCTCCCTTGCAGGCCCTTCAGATAATGAAAAGTTGCTATGAGGTCTCCACGCAGTCTTCTCTTCTCCAGGCTGAACAGTCCCAACTTCCTCAGCCTGTCTTCATAGGGGAGATGCTCCAGTCCTCTTATCAACTTTGTGGCCTCCTCTCCTCTGGACCCAACAGCTCCATTCCTTCTTACACTGAGGACACCAGAACCGCACACAGTA